CCCCTGCCGATATGACGGCTCATCTGCTCCGGAGGATGCTTGGGAGCCACGTCCTCCTCTTCCGCCTCCGTTCCCTGCTGCGGAGCTCCAGCAGTGGCACAGGTAGCCCTTGCCCAGAGTATTTTGGGGGAGGGGAGGACAGGAGCCACCCTGCAAGGGGAGAGCATCCCCGTCCCCAGTGTCCTCTGTCTAGCCAGTTGGAAAGGACTAAGTCAGCCTGCTGTGGGTCTTTCTCTCGAACTGGCAGGCTAAACTACAGTTTTTACATTTAAACTGTAATTTTAAAATTCTTTTCTTTTTTTTCCCCCCAATATCACCTCTGCATTGCAAGAGGTGGGTCCAGACAAGTGTTCATCGCTCAGGAGCTGATTTCTTTTTCAAGGATCCTATGCTGATGGGCAATAAGTGCGGAAGTATTTCCCCACCTCAAACTTTCTGATTAGGAAGGAATTAAACAATTTTACTGATTGTTTTTCAGCCAATCTATGAATTCTTTGTCAATCCCATACCACAATAAATGTTCTGCATGGTGTGTTACAGACTCATAGGAGGCATCGCTGGAGGCCTGCACCACGATGGGTGACTTCTGCTCTCCTGTTGTGTGTCCTTCACTTAACTATGGCCCCATTTCTCTTGGGCTGTAGGTGTTGCTTTCTTCCAGTGCTTCTTCTTAGCATCACCTTTCACTGAAGCTGAAGACTAGCAACTTCCACAGCCCATAAATGAACATTAGTTCTGGTTTCTCAGGGATTCCAAGAGGCAAACGGCCAAAGCTTTCAGTGATATCCAGGGATGAGGAAGGAGCACCAGCAGTTAGGAAGGAGCACCAGCAGACCAGCAGCTATTCCAAGCCAGAACAGAGGGCTGTGCTGGTGGTACCTTGGGTCGTAGGTGCCCATTTCTGTTCAGAGCCTTCCCAATTGGTGTGAGGGAGCTGCTCTCCATATGTGGCACACCAAATGGAAAGCAGATGCAAAGTCCTGCACTCATCCCTGCTCTAATGCCCCTGAACTGCCCTCCTGTGCTCCGTCTGTACCCACGGAAGCTTTGGGAGCATTGAGGTGATGGTGGAAAGCATCAACACAGTCTAAGTTAAAATGATGTTAAAAATAATACAAATTATCTTCCTATATCTAATTGAAGACACAGGCTTTCTGATGAAACAAGCTGAAGCAAGTGTTGCTACAGATTGGAAAAAAAACCCGACTCCAGAACAATTCTATGTTACAAGAGAAAAAGGAACTGAACCAGTAAGTAAAAGCACTAATGCTGTCCACGGTTAAGCCACCTTCTCTGCCTGCTGGGCAGAGGAAAACCTGCTTTGGGGAGCTGTCACCACTCAGTTGCTCGGCAGGTTTTCCCCTGCCTTCCTGTGGATGAAAGTTAGACTCAACATACTGAACCCGGTGGATTTTGTTCTGACCCAGACTCATTTGCAGATGAAAAAACATTCTGCATTCTTTTCATATTTTGTTTTGGGGTTTTGGGTTTTTTGGGGATACTTTACTGCCAGCTCAGCCGTCTGTGTGGCAGTAGTGGAGGCCTCTCTGGGGGGAGGAAGAAGATCATATTTTTGGCCTGTAGTCTCATTTTTTTGACCATATGTAGATTAGCCATGGAAATCTTATATGTAGCACTCCATTCAGGAGCCGGGTTACCCCTTGTGTGCCAGACCACCCACCCACCTTGTCCCCGTGCTTTGGCTCCTTCTGTGATGGAGGCCACGTAGTGCTGTGGGTGCAGTGCCGGCATCCCTAGCCCAGAGCCAGGGCTTCTGCACGCACAGAGCATGTACCGTGAGATTAAATCATGTGAACTGTGCCCAAATCTTTACAAATAAGGATCCCAATTCCAGACCATGCAGGGAGGAGGAGAGTCCCTTTGTAGAGCCACTTTGAAGTTGTGGCACTCCATAGCAGAGCCCTCATCTTGGGGATCCTGCACATTTCACAAGTTCCTCGGAGGTCACGACTCCGGCCGCGGTACCTGGATGATTTATGCATCTGAATGGTCTCGAAGTTTCTGGGGGCAGGGGGTAGTCTTCACTATTAATCCAAAGGCATCCTCCCCTTCATTTCTTTAGGCTGCTAATGTTTGTTCTTCAAAGCCCCCCTGTGAAGCCTTCTTTTTATGGTTTTTCTCCTGTTTTGAATCTGATTCCTACATGCTTGTTCCAGATGGTGAGCTTTTAAAGACCTGCATTATTAACTTCTCTTTTTTTTTCTTCCTTTTTTAAAAGCCATTTAGTGAGATCTATCTGAATAACACAGAATCGGGAATATACTACTGCATGTGCTGCAATGCCCCACTCACTGTCCAGGTAACATCCCTTAGGTTTCACAGCATCCTTAAAACGTCCTCACTGCAGCAGAAGTGGCAGTGTCTTTTCACAAGAGGAATGGGAAGTGTAGGTCAGAAGAACAATTGTTTGGTGCCAGAGTGCTATGTATAAGATTTCCAGCATATCCGTGGTGATACAGGTACATGTTATGCCCTTTTCTTGAACATACGAGGGTCTCCAGTGGCCAGCAGAGAGCAGTTGCTACATTAGCATCTGCTGTTTTCTCCTGCCACACTCACTGTCCTTTTTGGTCGATAACAATTACCTGTTTAAGGGGTCCCTAAGCCACAAGTTGCCACAAAATACGTGTATTTATGCGGCAGTATCACTGTATGTTTGCTGTGTTCTTGTGCTCTTCCATAGTCATCTTCTGCTACTCACGCTACTGGGCTAGAGAGACCTTTGGTCTGCCTTAGTCCAGCTGTTATGTCCTTACTGCTGGGTCCCTCATACTGAAGCTGAGACCTCCTCTCCACCCCCACGCCCTTCTTGTTCCATCAACTAAATTTGACTATTTTTGCCTTTTTAGTTATATCTACTTTTTAAAACCTGACTGCGAACAACTGCGCTATTAACCTTTGTGCTCTTTACAATACTGTAAATTTTGCAACTTCATTAAAGTCTAAGTAAAAGGAAATAGAGTGCTTCGGAGTAGGATGTGCAGAGGGTGTTCTGTTCTCTGTAACTGAACCAGAAAAGACAGTTCCTCATATTTTTGATCCAGAAAATAGCCTTTATTTATTACCAGCTGAGAGTTCAATGGAACACGGCTGATATGCCCATTTTTATGAAGACTTTAAAGGATGCATCACAGATCAGGACTTCAAGTGGGAAGCTGAGAAACAAGAGATCTGGATAGTAAGAAAGCGGGGGGAAATGTAATGTCTGTATTAAAAATAAACCTAAACTAAGCAATTAAAGGGCAAAATTGGAGTCTAATAATTGTGAACAGTTAGTTTTCCTTTGGCCAAGTATGGAAAACTATTGCTATGCAAATGAACATTTGCTTAACTGTATCTTTCTCTGTAGAGGTTTGCTAATAAACACTTTTAAATAAATTTATTTCAGAAGCTAGTGCAGCATTGCAGAATATTCTGAAGACAAATACAAAACCTAAAAATACCTCTGGAAAATTCAAGTACATTAGAGAAATTTTAAATTACTAAGCTGTGGAAGAGTTCCTTCAGTTCCTCCAAATGTTCCTTTAATTTAGACATCCTTTATATTAGACAATAGATATTGACAGGCCAACATGAAGAGAGATGAGCACTGGAGGGAATTGCTTCTGCTGCTAAACTAATAACCAACCAACAATATAGCCAAACAGTCATGCTGCTTTTTGCAGTATCCAGCTCTCAGACAATATAGATACTTTTGTTTAAAGCATAAAATAATGCTGATCTTTACAGACTGATACAGGGAAATAAAAAAGAAAACAAAAGGACTTCCAGGAAAAACCTTTTAAGAACACAGAAAATTATTAAATGTGCAAAATGATCCGAAAATATATTTTCCATGAATGCGTTATGTTGTGGAGGACACTAAAAATGGCAAAAAAAATGGTATTTGATAAGAGATGCATTCATCATGTTTATTTCCTAGTGCATTAAAATTGTCCTTTCTTTTTCGAAAGCATTAGATCATTAGCTACAGGTAAACATGAAACATTTCCTCCTTTCTTTCAAAGTATATGTGTGTGTATACATTTATACCAGAATTTATTACCTTCTGCTACCAAATATTCATTTGAAAGAGTTGGAAATACATGGAACAACCCCCTAACCTTTATAGATAGCAAATTGTGGTGCTTTAATGAAATCTTAAACCTTCAGCGAACCATAAACCTACAGCTGAGATTCATACAGCAAAAAGCACTTTTTAGAATTATCTGGATTCCATCCAGGATGACTGAAATAGGGATCAAAGTAAATGACATGTGCTGGAGGAATGGTGTGTCGAAGGCTAATCTAATGCATATGTTTAGGGAAAGTCCATTTATCCATAAATTAAGTGGTGAAATACTTCAAAGGACAAATATGATCTTGAACAGCAATATTTTTGGGTACTAAAATGTTTCTATTAGGGAATCTAAGTGATATTACTGTTAGTAAAACCACACAGAGACCATTTCTGTTGAGAGCTAGTTTAACAGCTCAAAAGATTGATCCTTTAGCAGTGGAAAACATCTACAATAAACGTAAGTATGGTGAGCAGCATGCAAGAGATGGAGTCAGTCAGGGTCAGATGCAAAACCCACATAGCATTAAAGACCTTCCTTGACTCTACAGGGTTTCAGAGAGGACCCTCGTATCAATGTATGAATAAGCAGAGGGATCCGTGTGTCAAAAAATGAAGAGTTCTGACTGAAATTTTTTGAGAATAAAAAAGAAACAGCACAGGTATATGTCAGGGAAATTCAGAAGTCATGTACGGACTTTTGTGTTTCCCCAGGTTGTTATTTGGGACTCTGCGGCTGGTAGGCACAGTGTTCTTGTGGTTTTGTAGCAGGGAAGGCATGGAGCCCTCTTTGGCTGGAAAGAAATAGGCCTGGAGCTCTGAATACCTTCTCATACAAACACAGAGTCTGCAAACTGCATTTGCTTTGGTGCAGGCTGCTTCTGCACTGTGTCCTATTTCTCCCCAGTTTTATGGAGGGGAGAGGTAGGAGAGCGTTTCTCATGGGTCTTCATGGATTGATGTAAAGGACTGAGCAACAACCCACACAAAAACTGGCCTTTGGTCATTCGGTGTTTGCAAATCCTCTTTTCCTTCCACAGTTATATTGCTCAAAGATGGCCCTGTCCAGTTAATTATAAAGCGCATGCTGAAGCATGCACTGTTCTTTGGGTTGGATTTTTTTAAGCTTTTCCCCCAGCTTGTTTGTCTTGTATTTCTAAAAAGCACTGCAAGTAAGATTTTCAGATTTTTCTTCACTGTATTAATATCCCACCAAAATATACACGATATATATTAGATATTTTGCTTTAAGTTCTGTATCAACTAATGGACTAACCCCCTTGACCACAGCAAAGCTGCTGCTGGTGTTGGTGTCGCCATCCACCACTAGATGCCAGTAAGAGCATTTGGTTTGTGAAACTGGGCTAAACCACGGGAAATCGGGAGGAAATGGTTGCGGTGGGTCTCCAGACCACTTACCCTAGTAGTATGTGAGTCTGTCTTCATTTCTTGCTCTAACTCACACTAGGTCACTCTTCACTAGGAGACTGTACTCATCACTATCAAAGCTTGCACAACCTTAAATAGAAGGGATTATCTCATTTCTGTATGCTAAATCCCAAAAATACATTCCGATTATAATTTCCAATATTCTGTAGGTTTTAATATGCACCCAAACAGGGCTGGTAATCCTGAATGTTAACAGGAGACACCCACAAGCTGACAGTCTGTGGTACTGTTTCTGATGGCTGTGATTATCTCTTGGGAAAAGTAGACCTTTGTGCTGTGAGGATTTGTCATTGGTTGATTGATGGTTTCAGCAAGGCTGGCTGATTTACCAAACCATTTTGATGGCTGACTATCAGACATGAGTGAGCCTCATCAGGTGAGCCAACCCAGCCATTATTCCATACTCATTTTCCATGCTTCGTTTCTTCTTGCAAACTCTCCTCTCTGAGGCTGTGCTGTATTGGGCCAGGCTTTGAACTGCAACTTTGCAGGTGTAATTCAGCTAAACAGTGTGCTCAGTCGTTGGAAAAAACTTTTTTCAAGCTTTATAAAATGCCAAACTAACAGTGAAATAGAAATTGTGAGGCAAAAGCTCCTGTTACGGGCTGATTGAGAATTCCCTTTGGTAAAGAGCTTCCAGTACAGTCCTATGACAGTGAGAAAACTTCTACTGCACCAAATGCTATTAATAGTAGTACAAGACAAGGACGAGGAAAAAAAGCCAATGTTCTTATTATAACATCTCTGTTATTAATTAACAAGAAAATCTGGTTTCCACTATAGCCCAGAAAAGTACAATTCTGGGACTGGGTGGCTATCGTTTTCTGAGGCTTATGGTACTTGTGGCAGAGATGAAAGTAACACCAATGTCATGAGACAAACAGATAACTCATTGGGATCAACTAGAACTGAAGTCACCTGCAAACAGGTATGTTTATTTTGGAGGTGATGCCCAAAGACCCAAATCTTAACAAATAAATTTTCTTTGTGCCCATGAAAAAATCTACCTAAATCTAGCAGTGAGAATTACAGTATCAGTGGAACTACTCTGTCTCACTTCTTGGTATGAAACACATTAGTAGATCTCTAAATACCTAACATAAATAGTTGGTTTGGGTGAAGAAAATGATGCGACTGGGTAGTTGTGTAAGTATAGCCAAGGGCTGGATTTTAGACAGAAAATTTATTCAGAGGACCTCAGATGAACTGCAGTATGTGACAACAAACAGTAGAAGGGCCTCTGAGATTTATTCCACCCATTTGCCCCATCACAGGGTTGGTGCTTCCTAATTCAGTCCTGCTAAATGTTTGTTTAAGCAGTTCTTAAAATATGCAGTGATGGAGACTCCACAGCCTGACTAGCTAGTGAGCTGTAACGTTCATGTCTTCCTACTGTTGGTTAGACACTGGGCAAAACACCAAGTTTGCTTTGCAGCAGGTGAGGATTATTCCTATTCACCCTGCACAGCGGTGGTGGTGCCCTACACCTTCACAGCTGCCTTCCATGGGTTCTCTCATTTCACAGAAGCCACCCTTCTGTGGTAGCTATTGCTGTCTTGGCAGTGTTCCTGTCCTTACACCCTCACCTCTACCCAACCCATGACACATACTTGTATTTGGACCTGCTGTAATACCCAGGTTCTTTTCTAAAGAACTGCCACCCTTAACCATTTCTTCCCAACCCTGATTCTGTTCTGTTTATTACGTCTGTTAAGATACAAAAGAATGCAATTGCGTTTAATGAATTGCAGCCCCTTCTAGCAAGATTAGTTATTAGCTGCAAATGTAACAAGCATTTGTTGCAGTCTATTATCATGGTATAGTTCATGTTTGCAGTAATATCCAGCAACCACCTTTCAAGAACCTCAGCTGAAGACAACCTTCCAATTTTATAATGAACGACTGATAGCTATTCTGAGTCTTCTTACCATCAGTAATTTGGGGAGAGGAAGGAATCCTCATCTGACCTGTGCGAAAGACCTACAGTGACTGTCTTAATTAACCTGAAATTTTCCTTATGTATTGAGAATTCTAGATCCTCACATTTATTTCCTATACTTTCTGGCATTAGTACCTTTTCACTTCCTCTTCTGGGACCTGTTTGCTTGGGGGCAGATATTCACCCACTGGCCAGATTACTCCAGGATGTATTTCTAGTCTCTCCCCAAGACTCAACAATGAATTCATCATACAAGTTTCTTCATTCGGAATAGCACAGTAGACACCAGCATGTGTTGGTCCATAATTGTAGCGGTAATAATTGTACATAATTTCTGTTGCAGTGTGATGCCCATCTAGGTCATGTGTTTGATGACGGCCCCACACCTTCTGGGCAGAGGTTCTGTATCAACAGTGTTTCATTACAAGGCAAAAGCCCAGATAGAACTCAATCTGCCCACGGTTGTAAAGGATAACAAAAAATGTTTTTACAAATATATTAACAACAAAAAAAGAGGCAAAGAGAATCTCCATCCCTTACTGGATATGGGGGGACTGTCACCAACGATGAGGAAAAGGCTGAGGTACTTAATGCCTTCTTTGCCTCAGTCTTTAATGGACAGAATAAGTGTCCTCAGGGTATTCAACTCCCTGAGCTGGAAGACAGGGATGGAGAGCACAATAAACTCCTCATAATCCAGCAGGAAACAGTTAAAGACCTGCTAAGACACCAGGACACCCACAAGTCTATGGGGCCTGATGGGACCCACCCGAGAGTACTGAGGGAGCTGGCAGAGGAGCTTGCAAAGACACTCTCCATCATTTATCAGCAGCCCTGATTAACAGGGGAGGTCCCAGCCAACTGGAGGTTTGCCTATGTGACGCCCATCTACAAGAAAGGCCGGAA